GATCATCTTACAGAGCCGCCTATTATTTCTTTTTTGTTATTGTTGTTGTTCCACCTATTATTTAAGGAATTCTCTGACCTAGTTTTCTACAACCTTTGAATAGTGCAGAATTGAAATAATGTAACAGGTTAAAAAAACAGAGAAGCCTTTACTTATTCATTCTTGCTGGCACACTCACCTGGTGCTAATCCAGGCCAATATATGTAACCACTGTAGCTACTTAAAACTGAAAATGGCATTAATGATTTTCGAAATAACACAACTGAGAATTAGGCCAAGAAGACAAAAGCATGAACCATTTATCTATCATAGTCAAAAAATATAAATGCTCTTTTAAAAAAAATACTGTCTCACTTCACATTACCTATAAGGTAGGCTTCAGAACCGATTTTCTCCCTTGTGCATAAAAATGCATTTAATCCTCATAACTCAATTAACATTTGAACCAACAACTCACTGACTTTTTAGAGAATGGCAATTCAAAAAAATTATTTCACTAAACATGAGCTGAATTAACTGCTTAACTTTATTATAGTTTCTGTGAGTTTCATAGGTTTAAAAAAAGAGGCCCAATTTTGCTATTGATGATAGGGTGGAGACTGGGAGGAGGTAAGAGAGGAGGAAAAAACTAAACTGGGTAAGTGTTGGCCTGACAAGAAGTTTGGAAATAAATTTTTCCCAAGCTCTAAACGTTACTTGATAAGTATTAAAAAGGATATATTCCACATGGTCAATTTCCTGGTATTGCTAACAATACCTAGCATTGTAGAAGCTGGCACTACTCAGTCTCCATCCAGCTCTGTAAGGTCAGTGGGGTAACCTACAAAATCCTGAAAAGGGATGCATCACCACAGTTCCAGGCTCGTTTCTGCTACTGGCTAAGCTATACAGGTAAGGGAAGTAAGTATATATGTCAGAGGAGAAGTCAACATTAAATAAATATTTAAAGAACATGGGAAAGCGGAGACTTCCAACTAGTCAAAACTCCTATTAGCTAAGTTCATACATAGTAGTCCAGGATAAGAAACCCTACCTACCCCTAAGAGTGAAATGCATACAAGAATACTTGACAAAACGTAAGAAAATGTAAAAGTGAAAGTAAGTGAAGCCCCATTGCCAATTACAGTAGCTATTCTTAAGACTAGTATTGAGGACTATTAGAAATACTTTTCCTTTGATGTAATTCTTAGGATTTGCAGGAAAATAATCCAAGGAGGGGGGAGGATTGGAGGGAGATGAAATAAGAGTGGCTAAGAACTGATGATTAATGCAGTTGATTGACAGGTATGAGTGTTCATTGTACTATTCTCTCTTTGCATATGCTTTAAGTTTTCCTTTATAAAACATTCAAATACATTTTCTTAATGCTTGTCGTTAGGTGCTGTCAAGCTGGTTCCAACTCATAGCGACCTTACGTACAACAGAACAAAACGTTGCCAGGTCTTATGACACCTTCACAATTGTTGCTATGTTTAAGCCCACTGTTGAAGTCACTGTGTCAATCAATCTTGCTGAAAGGTTCTCTTCTTCGCTGACCCTCTACTTTACCAAACATGATGTTCTTTCTCCAAGGACTGGTCACTCTGATAGCATGTCCAAAGTACATGAGACAAAGTCTCACCATCCTCGCTTCTAAGGAGCATTTCTGCCTGTACTTCTTTCAAGATAGATTTGTTCATTCTTCTGGCAGTCCGTGCTATATTAAATATTCTTTACCAACACCATAATTCAAATGCATCAATTCTTCTTTTGTCTTCCTTACTCATTGTCCAGCTTTCGCAAGCATATAAAAAAATCACGCTCCAATCTCACATAAGAACTTTAAGGAAAACAAATGCTGGCAAGGTTGTGGAGAAACTGGAACCCTCATCCACTGCTGGTGGGAATGTAATATGGTACAGTCACTGTGGAAAACATTCAGGTGGCTCCTCAAAAAGCTGAAACTAGAACTACCATATGATCCAGCAATGTCCAATCCTAGGTACATACCCAGAAGAAGTGAAGGCAGGAACACAAACAGAAACCTGTACACCAATATTCAATGCAGCACTTTTCACAATAGTCAAAAGGTGGAAAAAACCAAAATGTCCGTCAATAGATAAACGGATAAACAAAATGTAGTATATACATACAATGAAATATTATGCAGCCGTAAAGAGAAATGAAGTTCTGATGCATACCACAACATGGATGAATCTTGAAAATGTTATATGCTAAGTGAAATAAATCAGTCACAAAAGGACAAATACTGTATGATCTCACTTACATGAAATAAGCAAATATATAGCAAGCAAAGATCCCAGGGGAGGGAGGAAGAGAGGGGAGAAGGGAGGGAGAAAGGGGTATTTTTTGCTTAGGGGGCACTGAGTTTATGTTAATGGTAGTGGAATAGTTTGAAAAAGGATAGCAATAATAGTGGCACAACATGAGAAATGTAATCAGTGTCAATGAATTATAAATGTGAAAGCTGTACTGTCAAATGTTTTGGTATGTGTGTTTTCACCACAATTAAAAAAAAAAAAAGGAACCTTTAGGAGTATAAGAGGAAGGGGAGGATGCTGCTCTCAAATTAGTATAGAGCTATAACATTAAAAACAAAAAGTAAGTTCAATACTCCTGAATTCTCTATAGAAAAAGGATTCAGGATATACAACCTAAATGCTAAAACAATACAGTATATAGTTACTTAAATCAACGGTTCAACAACTTAAACAATGTTATAAAACCAAAAAACCAAACCCACTGACATTCAGTTAATTCCAACTCATGACAACCCCATGTATTACAGAGTAGAACTGTTCCATAGGATTTTCTTGGCTGTAATCTTTACTGAAGCAGACCACTAAGGCTTTCTTCTGCTATGCTGCTAGGTAAGTTCGAACTGCCAACCTTTAGGGTAGTAGTCTAGCATAAACCGTTTGCCCCACCCAAGGACCTCCTGAAAAATGTTATACAGTTAGTAAAATGAACATTAAGAATCTAATGAATCAGGACTGGTTGAGACTGGAGGACTCCCTGAGACTACTGCCTTGAAATATTCTTCAAACCTTGAAGCAAAATTAACCCTTGTGGTCACCTTGTAGCTAATTAACAAATTGGCTCAAAAAATAATGAATATCACTTGTAAGTACTGTGCTCCTTTAAAGTCACCTATGTGAGACCAAATGGACAACAATTACTTTAAAACAGAAATGAGAATGCAAGAGGGCCGAGAAACTAGATTAATAGAAATGGAACAAACAGAATGGAAATAATGAGAATGTTCACGCACGGCGAAGAATGTAACCAATGTCACTGAACAATTTGTGTAGAACTGTTGTTGCATGGAAACCTAAACTGCTGTTTGAACCTTCACTGAAAACATAATTATTTAAAAAAAAAAAAAAGAATTTAATGAATCAACATGGAAAATTTATCCAGCTAAATAGAAAATTATGTTATGATTCTAACTCTATAAAATATAAATATATGTGGAGACTGACTAGTTAGAAAGTGATACAACTCATGGGCTTTGGTGGTGGAACTGTAAATGAAATTTTGTAAAAAAAAACTTGTTATAATGCTTTTTTATGATTAAAGAAAAAAAATGCATGGACACACTGTCCTCTTCACTACCGCATGCAGAGGAATCTTCAGAGCACAGCACAGAGGGAACACACTAGGAAGGACTGTCTGCTGGGTACCACAGACCTCAGCAGTGCTGTGAGGAGAACCACACTGTTACTATCTATGTGGTGTGCAATGCAGGACAAAACCCTCATTGGCAGTGGCATACATGCCACATAAATACTAGGCAAAAACTTTTTCAATGCATAAAATCTTTGTGGAAAAATCAATAAAATCGAATATAGTCTAGAGAAATGATATTAAAAGTTCATCGATGTTTGGGTATAGGATACATCAGAAAGTTGTGATGCCATAAACTAAGAAAAAACTGACTCAGCTTTAAGATGGGGGCACTTACCTTTCTCCTCACCTCCCTTTTAATATGACATTTCTGCACAACTAGTTTTCTTTTGTTTTTAATTCTGAAAAGCATTTTCCACCCATATCCCTAATGAAGCTTGAAATTAACATGGCCTTTTCAATTCCTTCTTTGTGCAGCAGCATGAAATAAGAGTTTGGATCCAGGAAACATCACAAGGTAGGAGCGGGGCAATACCACAGAGCATTTCTTTTTTAAAGACCCTGGAGCACTGATTATATATCCTCGGGATTGATGACAAAGTGGTTGGCTCATTGCTCTACCTTCTCTGCCTGGACTGGCCCACAAATGGCCCACAAGTCACTGAAACGCCCATTATATGTTCTTTTTGGTCAAGACGCAGGCACAGGAAACAGGGTGTGCAGAGCTGTTCCATCTTCTATGGGATAAAAATACTGTCTTAAAAAGAGGGAACAGGAAAGGTAGGGAGCTGCTTCTATCCAGAAAGGTAAACTCATAAAGAACATGCACGTGACCATATCACAATCCCCTAAACACACCCCCACCCCAAAAAAAGAAAAAAAAAAGGTTTTCACTATATCCTACCTCCTAAGAAAGCTGGTGTGTAAAACCATAAATTTTAGTCTTGACTCCATTTTACTAGCTGATTGAAAAATAACTGGAACACTCTATAATTATTATGCAAACAATAAAAGAAGGGGACAAGACAAGCGTTCAGGGAAAAAGTAAAATGATTTCTTCCCCCCAGAAAAATGGGTAACTATGAATCTACGTGGGAGTACCTGGGTGGTACAAATAGCTAAGAGGCTTGGCTGCTAAACGAAAGGCTGGAGGTTCGAGTCCATCTAGAGGCACCTCAGAAGAAATGCCTGCTGATCTACTTCTAAAAAATCAGCTATTGAAAACCCTATGGAGCACAGCTCTGAGACACATGGGGCACCATAAGTTGGAATCGACTTGATGGTAACTGGTTGGTTTTATGGACTTATTAGTGTTCACTTAATTGTCAGGTTAGAGTTCAATTCCATTTTTCTTGTCATTTCCTTGTACTTACCATGACAGGGGTCCCAGATTAGGAGGAGAGATCCCCACCCCTTCAGTATCTGGCAGACTCTTCTTTCCCTTATGCTGAGATCTTAAAAAGAAAAAAAAGGGCAAAATTGGACATAATTTTTCCCCAACTGGCCATACCCTAATTAAAGAGATTGCATACACATGGACCTAAAGACCTAACCAGAGTCAGCCATGAAAAAGTTCAATATCAACTAATTCTTACTTGTTAAATCCAAACTCTATGATGCCTTTGTAAAATCCTCCTGGTCTTAATTTTTTCTGCAAAAAATGTATTAAAGGCTCACATTCCTGTTGCTGACAGTAATATGACAAATGTCTTAAAACTTGGTTGAAAATAATAAAGCAGTAATAATTCAAATTAATCTGCAAATATAAAAACTATATTCTTACAATATTTAAGGATGTTTTGTAGGTATCTGTAAATTCAAAATGGATCCCTATCAGTAGGGACCAAACTGGCTTAAAAAGCAAAATGTGAAAAAAATTGTCTTATTACCCCAATATTCTATACTCTTCTGAAAACTTACATAAATTGTGCTAATACCTTTACCTGGTTTTTAAGGATCAACTCAACAACAATCGGTTTCAGGTTTTTTGGTGGGTTTTCAAGGACAACACCAAGTTCTAGCTGTAACTTCTCCTAAAAGGCTTATAATCATATAGCATGATTTTACCAAACGAATGTTTACAGCCTATCCATAAGCTAGATTTTTCTTCTATTAATTGTCTACATTCACAATAACTCAGTCTTCAAGAAAGTAAGACTAAATTCAGAAACTGAAGTGCCAGTACAAATACTGCAGAACTCCGAAAAGAAAGCTCAATAGTTATAAATTAGGATAACCAAGTAACTCTTGACTTAACTAAATTTTGAAAGAGAAGACATCAGGAGAATCTTATTTGTTTGTCTGAGGTGGGTAGGAAGAAAGAAAAAAAAGAGAGAGGTTAAGAAGAAAAGGCAAAAAAGATGTGGTGTAATGGATTGCTTTTGTGTGGTCTTTCTAGCCATGGTCTTGTAACTCCCACCCAGATGATAAGGTAAGACTGGGTGATAGGGTAATTGTAGTCCACCAAAGGAAGGGGTCAGTTTTGCTATCCCGCTGGGCTTGAAAGGAGCCGCCCCAGAGGCAAGAAAGGAGAAGAACCCACCACCACCAAGGAAGAAGAGCCCAGTAGGAGGCCCGCAGGAGATGGTGCAGTGGGCTCCCTGGCCCACGGAGCGAGAAAGCTGAGTATCTTTGGGCAGAGACTGAGGGTCAGGGAGAGGCAAGCCTGCAAGCACGGCTGGGAAGAGGCTGTCCTGATGGAAGAACTGTATCCTTGAGTGTTGCTGAGCCTGAATTGTAACCTGTTACTTCTCTAATAAACCCCATAACCGTGAGTTTGGTCTGTGAGTTCTTTGTGGCCATTGCAATGAATTATCGAACCCTTATTATTAAGAGTTAGGTGTTGTTGTATAGATACCTTTTAAAGATCACTTTAAAGAAACACCTATTAGATAAATACAAAAAAAAAAAAAAAAAAAGAGCTGTCCTAATGTTATACAAATGGTATTTGTGTTTTACAATCAAATTTCTAACGACAGCATCATATACACATTCAAAAACTACAATCTCTTAAACAGTTTAAATGGAGTGAATCTGACATGTTCTGCAAAATTTATTTAACTCCAAATGCACCTCCAATGAAAAACACATTAATATCAAAAATGTAGGTGGAATGTGGAGAACTTGGAATCCTTATACACTGCTGTTGGGAATGGTGCATCCTCTACGGAAAGAGTTTGGTAGTCCCTAAAAAACTTAGGAGTCACCATATGATCCATCAGTTCCACTCCCAGGTATACACTGAAGAGAATTAAAAAACAAATGTCCACGCAAAACTATGTACATAAATGTTCACAGCAGCCTTATTCATAACAGTCAAAACGTGGAAACAACCCAAATGTCCAACAACAAAATGACAGCAATAAACTCACAGCTATCAATAATCACACTGAATGTAAACTGCTTATGTACCCATAAAGAGAGAGAGAGTGACAGAATGAATAAAAAAATAGGACCCATCAATATGCTGTCTACAATAGACACATCTTAAGACACAAAGACATAAATACATTAAAGAATGGAAAAAATATATCAAGCAAACAGCGATCAAAAAAAGAGCACGAGTGGCAATATTAATCTCAGATAAAATAAACTTTAAGGCAAAATCCACAAGAAAAGACAAGGAAGGACATTACATAACGATTAAAGGGACAATCCACCATGAGGACATAACTATAGTAAATATCTATGTACTCAATTCAGGGCTGCAAAACACATAAAACAAACTCCTAACAGCACTGAAAAGAGAAATTGACATTTCCACAATAATAGTAGGAGACTTCCACACGGCACTTAGAACATCCAGAAAGAAACTCAACAAAGATAAAGAAGATCTACAGGCCACAATCAACTAACTTAACCTCACAGACATATACAGAATACTCCACCCAACAGCAGCAAAGTACACATTCTTTTTCAATGCACATGGAATGTTCTCCAGAAAAGACCGTATCTTAGAATACAAAGTAACCCTCGACAAAATCCAAAACACTGAGATAATACAAACCATCTTCTCTGATAAAAACGCTATAAAAGTAGCAATTAATGACAGAAAGAACAACAGAAAAATATCAAATGCATGGAAAATGAGTTAAAACTTTGCTGAAAAACCACTGGGTAAAAGAAGAATTCTAAGATGAATCAAAAAATTCCTAGAATCAAACAGGAATGAAAATACATCATACCAAAACCTTTTGGACACAGCAACGGCAGTGCTAAGAGGTCAATTTATAAAAACAGATGCACACGTCAAAAAAGAAGAAAGGGACAAAACTCAAAACATTAGCTATATAACTCGAACAAATTGAAAGGGAGCAGCAAAAGAAGCCCAGAGCCACTAGAAGAAAATAATAAGATGATCAGACCAGGAATAAATGAAATAAGAGATCTGAAAACAATAGAAACAGTCAACAAAATCAAAAGTTGGTTCTTTGAAAGGATCAACAAAATCGACAAACCACTGGCCAAACTGGCAAAAGAAAAATAGGAGACGAAGCAAATAACCCAAATAGGAAATGAGATGTGGGCCATTACAACTGACTCAACAGAAATAAAAAGGATCACAACAGAGTACAGTGAAAAACTGTACTCTTAACAAATATGAAAACCTAGAAGAAATGGACAAATTTCTAGAAACACACTACCTACCTACATTAACACAAACTGAGGTCGAAAATCTGAACAGACCCATAACAAGAGAAGAGACTGAAAAGGTAAGAAGAGCTCACACCAATACTACTCAAACTATTTCGAAAACAGGGAAAAAAAGGATACTTCCAAATTTATTCTCTGAAGCCAGTGTAACTCTGATAACAAAGTCAGATAAAGACACCATAAAAAAAGTAAAATTACAAACCAATATCTCATAAACATAGATGAAAAACTTCTCAACAAAATTCTAGGCAATAGAATTCAGCATCATATCAAAAAAAATACTAATACACCACGACCAAATGGGATTCATACCAGATATGCAAGGATGGTTCAACATTAGAAAATCAATCAGGAGGCGGGGCCAAGATGGCAGAGTAGTCAGATGCTTCCTGTAGTCCCTCTTACAACAAGGACCAGAAAAAAACAAGTGAATTGATTATATATGACAATCTAGGAACCCGGAACATCAAAGGCAAAGTTGAGAAATCAGACTGAGTGGCAGGGGGAGGGAGAGATGGTTCGTAAGCAGTGAAGAGTTGCCAGACCTGACCTGGTAGGAGGTGGCGCCCTTCAGGCCAGACCAGCTCACGTGCACAGTGTGGCAAGCACTGGCACTCGGGAGGCATTTTCCATATCGGGAGAGACCCAGCGGCAAGAGTCTACTCGGACATCCAGAACCAGTGAGAAGCAGCACTCAATTGGTAAAAGATAAGTACTTGTGTCTGATCGATGTGTGAATCAAAAAATACCCCCTTTGGGAAAAACTTCTCTCTCGTTTACCTGCTGCCTCCCCACTCTGTACCGTGTCCCGGGCCAGCTTCAATGATTGCCGAGTCCCCTGGGCCAGAAGTAGGACCTGTCATGCACCCTGAGCCATTCTCCTGGCCTTAGAGAGGGAACAAATTAACAAACAGGAAAAAAAAAAAAAAAAATCTGCCAGCTCCCCTAAGCCAGGAACTCAGGGTAGGCACAGCTCCTTTGCCTAGGCACAAGAATAAGGGCTCCATGGACATTAAATGCCTTTCACCCCTGCATAAACATGTGTGGGCCCATTTAAACGGCGTAGGCCCCCATTATTATGGTACAACAGGGTATATACCTGAAGTCTAACTTCAACTGTATCAGCTATATGGTGAAGTGGCACATTCAAGACATCTGACACTACTCTTCCCATTAATCAGGGTCCTCACCTACCCACATCAGGGGCCTGAGGACTGGTGATTCCACCCATACCACCTAGCCACCCGCGATAGGGGTCCAAGAATAAGTAATGCCCCCCTAGTCATTACAGCCAATAGTACTGGGTGCTTATACTCCAGCTGCAAAACACCCACCTACTCACTCTAGGAAACAGGGACATGGTTTCCCACCAGACACTCAGGGGCAGCAGTCAGACCCCTGCGTTGCTTAGTGCGTGTCCCCCTACTGCAGCAAGATACCTGTGTCTACACCAATCACCCATGTCTGTCTAGGACTGTAGGTGAGAGCCTGCACCACACACTTGGTGACAGACTACCTGGATACCTGAGCTGAATTCATACATGAAAAGAGACTCCTGGGCTCACATATCTAGTAACAGATCTAACCACCTGGTGACATGACATTGGAGCTTCAAAGCCACCAATAATCAAACTAGCTTACAGCCTATTTGGGCATAACAAAACAAGAAGCACAGTAAGCAAACATAAAATAAGGAAGTATAATAACTTCTCGATGGCTCAGAGAAAACAGTCAATATCAAATCACATAAAGAAGCAGACCATGATGGCTTCAGCAAGCTCCGAAAATAAAGAAGCAAGAA